GCGCCCGGCCTGGACTTAGTATTTAATGGCTACAGCTGTTATGCAAGATGCAAAGAGTTCTGGAGATCGATGGTGGTGATAGTTGCACAACAATGTGAACGTTCTTAATGCCACTGAACTGTACACTTAGAAATAGTTAAGATGGTAAATGTTATGTGTATTTTGCCAGAATTTTTTAAATTGGAAGGGAAGGGAGAAACAAGAAATCGCTCGACCTGCTAATTTTCATTTGAGGACCAACATGGCACAGTGGCTAGGAACTAAGACCTTGGCGTTCTGAGTTCCTCTGTCTGCTCTGCATTTACTAGCTGGGGCCTTTGAACAAGTCACTTGATATCTTTGAGATTTTATTCATCCTTACAAAGGGGAGTAATAATAGTTCTTTACAAGGTAATAGAATCTCACTAGCACAAGAGTGAGCACTTGCTCAATTGTTCTTATTTTAAATTTTAATAACAAATTTTATTTGATAATTTCTTAAAAATCAGAAATAATTCAGGGATAAGTAGTTGAATTATCAGTATCACATTATCACCTAGGGCGATACGCACATCAGAAGACTTCGTTTTAAGGGAAAAAGAGATCCAAGTTAGGAGTCAGAAGACTTGGGCTTTAAGAGTGGCTGTGGGTCGTATAAGATTTCTCTTTGGTGACACCCGGGGGTTGACGGAGATGACCTCTTAGACAACCAGAAAGCGAGATCAGCTTCGCTGCTCTGCGAAAGCCAGCCGTGGAGCTGCACCTCCCTCACCGCCTAAGCCTCTCGGGAACCTCCCGGGCGAGGGAAGGGGTCCAAAGGTCGGACACAAGAAGAGTGATTGCAAAGCCCCTTCCTACGCTGGTGGCGGCGGCGTGGTGCAAGATTTGGGCAAGACTTCTCTCCCTCGGATTGGGAGCAAGGGTCCCGCACCTTCATAGCTCCCACGACAAAGTCTGCAACTCAGCCCGCTGAGGGAGCTGCAAGAAACCTGCAAACGTCCCAGCCCCTGCAGAGACCCCCAAGAAAAAGCGCCCCCAAAACAGCCTGGGTTGCAGATTTATAAATACCTCCTCCGCACATGCGCATTGGAATTTACGAGTGGCCCAGGGAGCAACTCTGGCCCACTGCGCCTGCGCCTTCCAGCTCTTCCTTCAGGGCACAGGACCAGAAAGTGGGGTCCCATGGTCCCGCAAAGAAGGAAAAACAATGGGTCGGCAGCGGCCACGCGGTACCCGTTTCTCGCTTCTTACCTCGTAGTGCTTCATGGCTCACTCCCACGGCGACTACAGTTCCGCGGGCTGCTGCCTATGCGCGCGACACAGCACACAGTCCCTGAAACGCTCGATACCGCTGCGAGAGACTAAACGCAGCTCTGCGTCCGCCCCGCCCCTCCCGGCCGCGCGCGCCCCGCCGGCCAATCAGGGCACGAGGCGACCACCTTCGCCCCTGCCCCTTGGGGCCGGTCCGAACCAGGACCGGGGCTAGCACCAGGGGATTGACCAATCAGCTTGCGAGACCCACCGAAGGGGGCGGAGCGAGTGCGGGAGGGGCTAAAGAGAAGAGGTTTGGCCATCCACCAATCCAAAGGAGGCTTCTGAGCCGCGCGTCCCTTTGCCCCGACCCCTGATGGCGTCGCTGTGGAAACCAAGGTAAGCGACGGTTATGGCCAGGCGGGGGGCGGGGTAAAAAGTTGAGTGACAGGCAAAGCAGTGTCCACATGACAGGCGACGCCGACGGATTAAATTCCGAGGTGGGCGGCCCCCGGGATACACCGGGAAGGGATTGGGGTCGCGGGCTGAGAAGCCTGGATGGCGAGGCCACTCCAGAGGAGACTCTTGAGTGGGAGGGAAAGAAAGGGGAAATGCGATGGCAAAAAGCTCCCCATTTGGGAACCCCCAACCGCAACCTTGAGCCCCAGCCCCACTTTGGTTCGGTTTGGTTTGGAAACAGAGGCTCATTCTGTCCCCCAGGCTGGAGTTCAACAACGGCTCAGCGCAACCTCCCTCTGCCGGGTTCAACCGATTCTCATGCCTTAGCCTCCCGAGTAGCTGGGATTACAGGTGCCTGCCACCACACCTGGCTCATTTTTGTATCTTTTTAGCAAAGACAGGGTTTCGCCATGTTGGCCAGGCTGGTCTTGAACTCCTCACCTCAGGTGATGTTCACACCTCAGCCTCCCAAAGTGCTGGGATTACAGGGGTGAGCCACCGCCCCCAGCCCCCTATCCCACTTGGCTCGGCCCTATATTTGTCTCTGCTTGACGTTGTCCAGAATGGTGTCTAGTGGTTCCATGGGGCCACTGAGCCCTTAAAATGGGGCTGGTCCAAATTGAGATGTCTTGTAAATGAAAAATACATCAGTTTCTGACTGGGTTCGGTCTCCAACTCCTGGCCTCAAGTGACTGACCGCTATGGCCTCCTAAAGCGCTGGGATTACAGGAGTGAGCCATCGTGCTGGGG